TCACTCAGGAGGCCAGTGCTTCTGGTTTGACTGAGTCTGACTGTGAATATTCATAATCACTATGACGCGACGACATTCCTCCTTCTAGTCCCGGATAGGTGGAGACTCATGACGTGTATCCTGTTGCTAACCAACATCAAACAAATGACTTCTTTACTAGTCTGTACGCTTCTGAATATTTTACGTGAAAAAGGGGTAATTGACTTTGATAAACTTTGGATTGAAACATATGGTAAATATTATTCAACTGGATTGCTAAGGAAGTGAACGTGAGTGCTGTGTGTTTGAGTGGAGGTTATTACTGTAAGCAATGGATATATATATCCCTGTATGCAGACTATTCAGCGGAATCACATTGAAGATATAGTTCTTACTTGGCTGTTTGTTTCGTCCCTATGTCTTCCTTATTCATCAACGCCTGTGAGTGATAATAGTGCTGTATACGCCTTACATCACACTCTCTCTACAAGCAACTACTCTAGGAATGTCGTTTCGATTAATCTTCATTTTGGGGATATATCTACGCTTTACTACTGAGTGTATTCGTCCATGCTTGGCGACTTCATAATAAACTCCGGATAATCCTGTGACATTAGTTGACTTTGATTCTTAAAAGAATCAGGTTGCTTTGGGTTTGATCTTTGATAGGATTATGTCTTCAAGCCTTTGCATCAATGCTTCTGCAATCAATCAGGTTGCTTCCTCCATGTAGTGAACTGTATTCTGCAACAGATCATGGGCATCGAGAGGACTGCGATGTGTTGAACTGATAAGTAGTCTGCATAAGATTTTGTATTCACCCTTGCATGTGGCACCTTTGAATAATAACACTGGCTGAAGGCCTTATGGTTACTATGGAAGAATCAAACGATCAACTCTGAAAACACTCCAGATAATTACCCTGTCTTAAGAGACTGCTGCTTTGAAAGGTACGTCTGTGTTCAAGAAGTTTGATCTGCCAAGTATTTTTCACCAGAATTCTATCAATTTTTAGCGTTTTCGAAAGATGACGATCACTTCATCATTCAGTCTCCTTAAGTTGATTTTGCAAATCCCTAGGTAAATGCAACGCTGCTCAGATTTTCCACCACTGAATTCATAACACCTTGTGTTGACTTTACCTTTGCCTTGCTGGAAGATATACTGATAGGTAGTTCAGCGGAGAGATTCACCATAGTCACTTACGGAAGATATTTTCCAATCTATCTGAAAATTTGATAACAGTGAATCTCGTCAAGTACTGGATTGGTTCTCACTAACTGACTTACTCAGATTGTCGTGTGAGCAACCATGGCATTCGCTCTTTACCTGAGAAGGTGAAGACAGTTTAAGGCACCTACTGCTCATCTCAAGCATTTGCACACATTCCTAGGTATTGCAAGTTAACACCAGTGTTTTATATTTCAGTATGCTCATTCCTTCTTAGCATTTCAAAAAATCGAGGTAGCCATTGCACGCGCCAATATGTTCGTATATTAGCTTGTCCAGCTTCCATTCAGTGTTAATTCATTCCGCAGCCATCTTCTACTAAATTATCACGTTTCGCTGCATTCGTTTAACACCTTTTCGTACGAGTAAGCAGCACAGTTACATTTCGTTTTCGATATAATTTCCTGTAACAATAACAGGTGGTTTCCATTGAAACACTTCTAATCCAGTTATAACATTCTATTTTGTTTGGCGAAATTTTATTTTTGTAAGCAAACTGTACTTGTTGTAGACGTTCCATTTATGCTTCACTTTATACTCAATTCGGACCATTCTCGCCTCTATTTTCACCCTGTGTGGTTGCCCATACTCTGATTTAGACCATGGATAGCTTTTGACACAATTCCGCTGTTATCTGCATGATGCAACCCTGCAGTGCTTCTGATGCCATTTAGCATGAGATTTGTCTTTCGAATTCACTATTCTTATCTGTAATACAGTATCATATTTGGGAATAATCCTTCGTTCTGGAGTTTACAGGGATTTCAAAATGTAAGTTTATTTCATTGAGAGTTCAGCCAATATGTTTCGTTCTGAATTCCTAGTAAGAAAGTTACACCCAGAGCATCTGTATATGCATCTAACACACTTACGTGACTTTTACTACAACAGATATGAATGAAACCTGGACACTTTTCTCTTTTTCTTAAAGAGAACAATCTCCATGGAAAATGCTTTAAACGCTTTTAGTCATGAGCTGTGTAGCAGCTACTCTTCTAAGAAACAACTGTATCACGCCGTTAAAGAGGGCCAGCTTACCACCTTCACAGGTCATCTGGATTCAATACGTACTACACTTAAACGAACAGATAACCTTCGCATGAATCACGTCATCTGGAACACTTTACATAGACTAACTAGGACATTCTTTATGTCTCTGGTTTGCATAACCCTGTCGGTGACGATTATTTTCGTTTCTGCACCACCACAGTTCCTACGGCTATGGACATCAGGCTTCGAAATTCGAAATATGGTTTTGTTTATTGTAGCGCTCTCCAAAAAACCCTGCAAACTCCATGAGATCGTCAAACGATGTTCATCTCCATAATTCACCAAGGTACAGTAGGCGTTGATCGCTTGAAAGCAGACTGTAAGTTGACGGAACAAATGCCGTCTTAATTTAGTCAGAAGGACAAGGATTTAAGTCCCTCTGCCACTCAAAAGTGGACTGAGTCATCATATTGGCAGTGTTAACTCCCTTCATAACTACAGTTTCGCTTGTGATCAAATATAAATTACTTACAACTAGTAAGTATTACGGGTTTATATTTTGTTCAATATTTCCTTACTCCGTACATAAGTGAAATCTATCACTTTTAGTATGTCAGCATTTTGTATGATTTGGTACGCTGCTTACTTGTGACTGTGTGTTGTAGCCTGAGTTTTTGCAATAGACATGGAGAATTTGAGGGGCGCATGTCAGCATCCAGTAATGGTAAGCATCCTGGCTCGTTTTATTTTGATGAACTCGTTGTATATTGTGGTATTCATTACTTTCGACCTTCTGGTTCATTACAGATTTCTGTAGATTAATTGTATTTTGGTTGTCCGTGTCGCATATTACAGAAAACAGCAAACCATGCAGTCACGAACAAATCACATTGGAATATCAATCTACTATTGGCAGGTACCCAAGCGACAGGGAATCATCTGGCTCATATGATATGAAACAAATATCACAATATCAGTGTTGGAGATGATTTACTGCAGAAATCGCTTTATATTTAGGGAGAGAGGGAGAGAAGGGAAGAGAGGAAGGGACATTGAATGTATTGGTATTTTATACCAAATCATTTTATGAGTATATCCCTAACTAATTTTCTAAAAAATCAAACTTTTATTGTTAAGTTCAGTTCACTTTGTGTACAATCGCATTCTATCAGATAAGATGAACTGTTGCAAATTTGGTTAGTATGAACGTACATTATATTATTGTTTTTTTTGTTATTTTTGTGTTTCACTTCGTACTACTTGTAATTTTATGGAAAAAATATATTCTGTTTCGTGCATTTGTCCTTTTTTCGATCTTTTATGAATAGCAAATTATTTAGGTTATCGTGATGTTTTACTTCGGTATTAAATTTTGTTTTATAACATTACATATTAATAAAATAGATAATAAGGAGGTGAAATTGACTTGCAGATTTACTTTTCATTATACCGCTGTACTAAGATATAGGCTTAATTGTGAACCATACCAACAGTAGGCCAAAGTGGGCAAACCTAATGAATTCCATCACTTTTTCATGTGGTTGTTTTCTCTGAGCTGGATAGTTAATTTGCGAAGCTTTCATCACCCTACTAGGTGACATCTTCAGCGCATACTTCAATTTGAAGTCAGCTTTTAGATTTCTCCACGAGTTTATTAGTCATCTCTCCTGGTGGGTGATCTTGAACGTGATTGTTTGTTTTGTGTGTTTTCACACCCTCTAGGCTAGTTGTATTGTAGTCGACTGGGTCAACGTTCATATATTAGACAGAGGAAACAACAGGAATGCTAGAGAATTTTTAGAAGCTTGGCATTCCAGTGAATCATCAATCAATAGACACATCGAGATAGTTAAAATTTATCAACCGATAAGAAAGAAACGTCACACACAATGGGTCAAAGTTCAAGTCAAAGAAACAATGAGTGACAATACAAGTAACCTAGAAAGTGTGAAAACACACAAAAACAACCAATCACGTCCAAGGTCGCCATGGGAGATGATTAATAAACTCCTGTAGAAATCTAAAAGCTCAGAATGAGAAAACACTAACTAGTGAACAACAATCATTCAGCTAGATGTCTGTATGAGATGCAGTAATGATACCATCACTATTTATGTAATTTCGGATCTTAAGAACTTGCTTTACAGTTTGTCCATGTTGCATATTACAGAAAATAGCAAGCCATGTGGTCACGAACAAATCACATTGGAACATCAATCTACTATTGGCAGGTATCCTTGCGACAGGGAATCATCTGGCTCATATGATATGAAACAAATATCACAATATAAGTGTTGGAGATGATTTACTGCAGATATCGCTTTATATTTAGGGAGAGAGGGAGAGAAGGTGGACTGAGTCATCATACTGGCAGTGTTAACTCCCTTCTTAACCACAGTTTCGCTTGTGATCAAATATAAACTACTTACCACTAGTAAGTAACACGGGCTTATTTTGTTCAATATTTCCTTACTCCGTACATAACCTTAGTTATTCATCGTCAGTGAAATCTATCACTTTAGTATGTCAGCATTTTGTATGATTTGGTACGCTGCTTACTTGTGACTGTGTGTTGCAACCTGATAAAAAATTCACCTGTATTTGTACATATACATAATTACAGTCAGTCAAGTCTCATTCAAGAAAACCGACCTACAATAGACATGTGAAACGCCCTGAATTATTGTTTTTTTTTCATACTTAAATAAATTTGTGAAAAATACTTTGTTATGATGTCCAAGTAAACATAGTGAAAATTTAGGGAAATCACACGTATTGCTTTTTCTCTCAGTCTGATGCATTTCAGTTTACAGTTTACAGTTTACAATTTATTTAGGATAGTAGGCTATATGCCTGTGTTAATCCTTTCGATTTGTTACACACAGGAGGTCCAATCTCGCCTTGAATGAATCAACGGATGGCGCTGATACGACGTGTTCCGGTAAGGAGTTCCAATGGTTCACAATCCGATGCGAAAAACGGATCTCCAAACGCAGACGATTCGACCGTGGTTTTTGAACCTTGAGGTGATGTCCTCGCAATTGGTTGGTGCTAGAAGGAAGAAATAAATTAGATAAATTTGCTCCAAAATCATTTCTTAGGATACGGTATGCTAGTATTAGGTCACCCCTAAGTCGTCTGTATGACAGTGGAAATAAACCCAGTCGACTTAACCTCTCTTCATATGAGAGGGTTGAGAAACCTTTTATTAGCTTAGTTCCTACTCTTTGCACCCTTTCTAATAAGTCTATTTCGTATTTGAAACACGGGCTCGCTGCCTGGATCCCATATTCCAAATGAGGTCTGATATAAGTCGGATATAATATACGAAATATTTCAGCGTCAAAATTCGCAAAAGCTTTGCGTATGGCCCATAATATTCGAAAACCTTTAGTGGCTGCAGCTCTACAGTTTGTTGCTGTTTTCAAGTCATGCTGCACAACCACTCCCAAGTCCCTGTACTCAGTGACCACTGGAAGAGTAATGCCATTCATTGAGTAATTGTGCACGTGACTATGAGATACATGCATAACTACACTCTTGCTTAAGTTAATCTCCAAGGCCCAGTGCTTACACCAATCACTTAACAAGTTTAAATCTTCCTGCAAAGCAAGTTGATCACTGTCATCGTGTAAAGCCCTCCATATCTTGATGTCGTCAGCAAACAGTAAGCAGGATGACCTAACTACCGATGGAATCTCATTAACATAAATCAGGAAAAGAAGTGGGCCTAGAATTGTACCCTGAGGAACGCCACTCTTAACCGATTCCCATGTTGATAAAACCCCGTTAACTCGTACTCTTTGTCTTCTGTCCTTTAGAAAGTCTTGAATCCAGTCGGCAACCACTTTATTGATTCCCATACTACCTAACTTTACTAGAAGACCTGAATGAGAAACCCTGTCAAACGCCTTGCTAAGGTCGATGAATATGGCATCCACCGGTATATTAGCATCAGCTGAGCTTGCCCAACTTTCTCTGGCCAAAAGAAGGTTGGTCAAGCAAGAATGACCTGCTCTAAAACCATGCTGTTCCACAGCGAAAAGTTTGTTCCCTTCAATGAACTGAATGATAGCATCACGAATTATTCTTTCCAGTAGTTTAACAACAATACTGGTTAAACTAACAGGACGATAGTTCTGAACTAAGTTTCTAGATCCGGTTTTGAAGACCGGACTAATGATGGCATCTTTCCAGTCTCTTGGACATTTAGACTGGTCCAGAGACATATTGAAGATTACCGACAATGGCTCAGCTATGTTTTCAGCCAATGCTGTTAAAATACGTGGGTGGAGTTCATCAGGGCCACTGGACTTACCAGGATTGAGCCTTAGAAGGTACTTTAGGACAGTATCCTTTCCAATGTATAAGGGTGCCATTTTCAAGTTACCTTCTGGAAAAGTTACAAAGCTGGTATCAATATTATCAGAGAATACTTGACTAAAGTGCTTGGACAAAGCCTCAGCCTTAGTCAAGTTATCCTCAGCCATGTTTGTCTGGTCATCTTCAAGCATAAGAGGTGGGATAGCATCACTCTTACGTGTTCTTCTCTTGATATATGAGAAGAGTCTTTTTGGGCAGCCTGGTGAACTTTTAACTAACTGGGTTTCGTAAGCTATCCTTGACTGGTGAATCAAAGTTTTACACTGGTTTCTGGTTTCACAGTATTTCAGCCGGAACTGCTGTAGCCCAGTAGAAACAAAGAGATTCCAGAACCTTTTTCTCCGTCTTAGGAGTGTTATAGCTTGTCTATTTATCCATGGTGGCCGGTTTGTTGGTCTTTTAGGAACCCTCCAGGGAATGAAATCAGTGGTAACCCTCTCAACTGTTTTCTTAAATCTATCCCATTCATCTTCAATGGATGAGACAATATTGACTGACCAGTCGGCAGTTGAAGCACGCTCCTTTATAGAGACTATGTCAGCATGCCAAACACTAGGTCGGGATTTGGGTTGAAAACTGACTAAATTGCCAACCCTTAAGTTAAAATCTAACACCCCATGATCACTGTTTGCTAGAGGTGGATGAATAACTAGACCATCCACGTCGTCATTGTCATGAGTAAGCACTAAGTCCAGCAAGGAAGATCCTTGGGTAGAACCGAATCTTGTACTACCTAAGACATGTTGTGTCAGGGCATTTTCCATGGTAGTCAAGAGTAACCGGCTGTCAAACTTATTAGTGGATCCTGGAGATGTGCCAGCTATCCAGTCTATATGAGGTGCATTAAAGTCACCTAGAATAAGACAGCTACTGTGTTTACTCCATTGTTTGAGGTGATCTAGAATAAAGTCATCACACTGACAAAAGGGACTTCTATACAGAACACCAATGAGTAAAGTGCCAGTTGCAAAGCTTAATTCACAGCTAATTACCTCACTTGTCCCACTGTCATGCGCTTCAGATTTCACGGAACGAACATGTAGGGAGTTGTTGATGTACAGAGCAACCCCGCCACCTCTACGACCCTTAACCCTGTCGCTGCGCAAGCAACTAAATCCGCATAGCTCAGGTGTGTCATCTAATCCAGAAATCAGCCATGTTTCAGTAATGGCCACGATACTTGGGCTAAGGTCTTCCACTAATACACCTAGCTCATGAAATTTGTTCCCGATACTACGTATATTAGTGTACACTACCTTCAGGCTTCCTATGAGGTCCGGCTTATCCACACAGGTCTTGGAAGCATACGTTTCCAAGACCTGACTATTTGAAAACCCACCAGTTTAAGGTTAGTCTCACCATTTTTACGTCTTGTTTCTAGCTGGGACAAAACTTCTTTTCGTTTTAGTCTGTCTTCAAGAGATAAATCAGGTCTGGCTGAAATTCCTGACCCGGTAAGGTTGTGTACATTAGCCAGTAGATGATTCCGTTCATCAGGAGAACCTAAGACTACTTTAAGCAATCTACGCTGATTAGAACATTCATCATCTCTTTTGCCTATTCTGATCAGCTTTTTAATCGATACTCCAGGGAAATTCGCTGGAAGCATCTTCCTTATAATACTACTCACTAATATGAGGTCGTGATCGTGCCTTTTTACGGGATCAGATTCTTTGGACTCTTCTAAGTTTCCAACAATTATGTTAGAGTCTAAGGAGAGCTTATCGTGTTTAGCAGTGGCTACGTCTTTTCTCACCACTACTGATGCAGCCTGGCTACAGGTAACAGACGTTTGCTTACCATTAGTATTACTATGTTTCTTTCGATTGCTTATTTTCGTTACCCACTTATCATCTGTCTGCAGTTGCTTCTCAGGGCTGCTGCAGTTTTTGATGGTACAATCGAGATCAGTGTCTGCACCACCTTCATGGTGAACTTCGCTTACAGTGTTCTCTGGTGCTGAGATGCTGTTTGCAGCTTCCGTTCTGTTACCCTTTCGCTTACTAAGACGCTTCGAACGCCTAGTAGGTTTTACTTCCGGGGTAACTGGGATAGTAACCGCCGGTGTGGTAACATTCATGATGGCACTTGCTGCGTCATCTTCAGACGGGCAGTCTGTGTCCCTATTACTCGCCACGCTATCATCAGGAAGTTCCATAGCCTTAGACAATAGCTCG